GATCTGGTGTGGAAACCGGAGGTCAAAAAGCCTTCCGAAAATAATTCCGGCTGCCCCCATTAACGTGCGGTAATGGTACTTTTGAAACCGACAAATCACAACGATCAATAATACTGTCTTGCAGTGTTTACAGGATAGCTGTTGCTTCAATTGCCAACCAAACGAATTAGGAAAAAGGGCGTACGGACAACTGAGCGCACAACCAATTTCATGATCTGATAATTTGAGATATGAAAATGAATTGAATTTGATAATTCGATACTGAGCCAATTCGATAATTACGGCGGCACTACGCTTATAACGGGAAAACGCCGTTCATTAATTTTAGGAAATCAATGAGTACTGCAATGTCATACGAATCAGAACCGTGCTGCAAGCGCGTCATCGTTGCTACGTTCGCATACATAAGGATTCTGTCGTCGGTTTGTTGGGTGGTTGTAAACAGAAACCATCTTAGTATTTTGTATAGAAAAATTTATACAAGAATTCTTGTACCTACAATTGCCGTAGCCAAGCGGGTACGCAGCTTGCTGCAGCTTCGTTAAATACTGCAACGTATTCGACCATTTTTCTGTAGAGGGATATTTTGGTTTTGGAGAGGGCATGTCTTTACTAAATCATGAATCCAGCGGCTAACAACAGCACTGGTTCCCAAAATGCCACTGTCGTATGCGCTGCGGAATTCACTCTGCTCACTCTGTCGCCGATTGGTGTCGGGACATTAGTCATTAACGTCATGATTGCGGCGGTGAACGGAACGGTACTGATGTTCTACTTCACCAACTGTGCCGTGATCAAGGAGTTTCACGTCTACGTTGTTGCGCTGTTGAGTGCCAATTTCCTGTTTGCCGCTGTCTTTGGACCGCTGGATGTTATCAATCCACACGTTGGAGCGTGGTGTTGGGGCTCCCATTGGTGTACGTTTCGCCTGTATTCCGGCACTGTGGCCATCACTCTTCAGTATTTTATCCATACCACCGTCGCCTTGTGCCGCTGTAGCGCGGTGCTCTTTCCCGTACAGTATCGCGAGCGGCACACCACCCGTCTCGCCGTCGTTCTCTGTACTCTGTGCTGGATAGCCGCTCATCTCCTTGTTGTCCCGATTCTCCTTATGGATGCTCTACTTTACCGACAACCGGAAACGCTGGTTGGCTGCGACTTGAACTACCAGATGCTGCCGGTACAAATCTGGTCGTATGTTTATGAAGCCGTGACCTACCTTACACTGTTCCTGGTACTGGCTCAGTATCCGACGGTTTTGTACATTCGCCGCAAACGTAACCGGACCCTACGGCAGGTTGGGCCCGCCGGATCGAAGAAAATCGGTGAGCCTAGTTTTATAAAGCAACTGTTCTAAATCTCTGGACTATCCGAAACGGTAATATCTATATAATATAAGTCTGAAGACGTACGAGCCTGTCAGGAATTTCAAGGGAAATGACCCGGTACATGATACCATTAAGTGTGCATGGACGAAAACTTTCACTTTCGCGCACTTCCAAACACTTCTGCTGTTTTTTTATAATATTCTGTAGCCAAAAGGTTTGTGTACATACTTCGAATGCTGCCTTATATGGGCTCCCCTTATATTACTCTCCCTTATCTGGGCTCCCGGCGAGTTAGCAATGCCCGTCAAATTAAATTTATCGGATTTATAGCAGAACCTTTTTTCTACTTCTTTCAACCATAAATTTTGAAGAAACCATAAATTTTAGAAAGATTTTGAATCTGTCGTTGATGCAACCTGAGCACTTCGAAACAAACTAAATGCTACAAAGTACTGGCAAAATAAGTATTTTAAATAAATCTGAATTTTCAGTCAGGATGACTCAGACATAACACTGATAACAGCTGCGAAAGTGTGAGTAATAACGTAACCGCCCATGTAGAGGGTTGTTCATATTGCTCGGGAGCCCAGATAAGGGAAAGTAATATAAGGGGAGCCCATATAAGGCAGCATTCGAAGTAGGCATAAAAACCATTTGTGCGCGCAACATCCCGTTCGGGAGTTGTGGCTGTAAGAAAATTTCAAAAAGATTAAATGCAGTCAGCTGTTTTGTACCAGAAGTCGCATTATGGCACGATCTTCTTTAAATTTTGCACAAAAAGCACATAAGACGATCGGCAATAACGAGCCTTCATCTTCAATAAGTTCATCTTTGCAGGTATTCAAAAACAACCGGTCGCTGCGTCATCAACGTCGCCCAATAACAAGAATATGAAACCAGAGAGAAGCGCCTTTCAACTGCTAGCGTTGCTGACGGGCAGCGTGTTCATCTTCTGGACACCGACGGCCATTGTCACACCGCTGGTGGCCATGGACGTCGATCAGGTCGCTTTGGGCTGGGTTTTCGAGCTCATGGAAGTGCAGGCCATAGTCGATCCCGTCATCTTTGTCTTGTCTCTACCAGATCTTCGCCAGCTGATATTTCGACGAACTCGCTGATAATCTAGGGACCAGCGTTATTGTTTTTACGGACACCATCATCACTATTACGGCAGCACGAATATTCCTCTGCTGTTGCGCGACGATCAATGGTGTCCTCGTGCCGCAGTCACGCTGTGGTATCTTGGCGGCGTTCATGCTTGCGCAAACGCAGTAATTCGACGATAACACTTAGCAAATCGTACTGCGTGAGAATGTTTTTCTAATTTTTGGTAATTCCGTAGTCGACGGATTACATACGCGTACTTATGACCTTTATTCTGTTTAACTTTCGTTTTGAGCGGGTTTATTATTAGGGTATTCATTTTGTATGATGAGTAATTAATTTATTAAAGGCAGTAGGTTGCCGGTGCGGTGACTCCCCTGTCGGCTGTCGTGTTAGGTGTTTTCGAACATAAGGTTATTCTTAGCGTGTTGCACCATCTTGCATATGGTGTTAGCAACAGTACTTTATGTTTACGAAATATGAGACAAACCGAAGTACTTTTTGTTGAAGCGCGTGTAAATAAAAAAGGTTAAAGCAACCAAGAAAATGTCTGGTGAGTTGCATTTGTTTATTTTACCAATTTCGTATTCACTTTACGGGAAATGGCATTTTGGTTATAAGCGAAAAACTGCAGGGACTCTAAAAGGAGACTGTAACAAGGACTTAAGAAAATCACAGTTGAACAACTCAGCTGAAAACGTTTTTCTCGGATCGTAGATGCCACGGGATTGCAGCCAAATCCTGTTAACATGCATCCGAAGCATCAGCGGCCCGTGCGTTCCAGTAGTCGAGACGAAGGTACGCCTGGTCTGCAGCGTTGTCACTGACGCTCCGCAGCGCCGTCGCTAACCGACCAGCGTCCGTTCGCTCCTCCGGCATCCACGTCCAACAGTCACGCATTAAAGCGTATCTGCAGACGTCGTTAACACAAACATTACTACATGTATAAATTTTGTCCGTGTATAGCTGAGCATGCACCGCTTAAGTAAGGCTGGGATCCAAACGCTTAAGTAAGGCTGGGCTGGGTCGGTCTATCCAAACGGAATCCATTTTTCAGCAATGCCCATAAATCTGACTCATCAGAATGGTCCGTTTCAGCATCGGCGTACGGAAGGCTTCCCAAGCTGAATAATTCCCACTGACCACACATCCGATTTCAGCGAAAATCGTTTCTCACTGATGGATTCTGGGGCCATCCAACGAGTGCACAGTGATTCCTGTTCGATGACGGAGAGATCAGTACGATAGGAATAATTACCGTGATAATCTATCCACCCGACCTTACTCAACGACAGAGTATGAGCTGATAACTCAATCTGGCAGAGCTAAGTCTGCGAATTTACGCGAAGCGAGAACGGTATTTCCGAAGATAATTTAGTTAAAAACTCCGAAGACTACCAAACTCTATTATGTTGTCTGTTAGCAGTTCTTGGTAAGGCGCCTCGCTTTCTTTATAAGGAAGGTTTTCTAACGCAAAAAACAACATTTCGTTCGTCAATGCGATCACTATGAAGAGCCTAGACCGGCTGGATAGCCCGGGCACGGTGGCGTTGAAAACCAGTTTGTCATCGACAAACCAGCCCAGGAAATCGCGCGTCCACACTACCTTGAAGAGATGGAAGTCCGCGGAGAAGTCCGCATCACTGAAACCATTCATTCTCTTGCTGTTGCCCATTGACGATTCGTAAATTAACTGCTGGCGTGGCGGCATCTTTATGCATGCATAAGCAGTTACATACTGTATAAGCACGAACGTCCGTGCGGGTTTTATTATCGATAGCATCCTTATGTATGACTACACTGTTGAGAAAATGACTAGCCGCGGGATGCTGTCAGCCGCGGGTATTGGCTGCATTTCGTCGCCGGTGCAGTTGTGCTGTGGAGTGTCTATGCACGGGTGCGGCATCATCATCACGGTGGTCAGATGGTTGCTGGGAACGGGGAGTTTGGCGCGTAGGGTCATTTCTTCGTCGTCTCGAAAAATCTCGATTATGTCACTGTGGACGAAAGGAAAAGTGGAAAAGAAATGGCAGAATTTCTGTTCATGTTTTCCACTATAATGGTGATCGTGCTGTCACAAAAATCGTTTCGGGTTTTACACTGAAGTGTATTCGGACTACAGAGGATCTGGTAGCGTTATGATTACTGCACAGCGTCTACAAAAAATCGATGTTATTGAAGTCTGCTGCTCCGGAAACATACGTAGTCCAGTATTCTGTCAATCTGCTTGCAGCACCGACAAAGCATGAGTCCAATGACAACGCCGGTAGTTGGTCACAGGAGTGTTGATTTACCGCTGCATCCTACAAATACTGTTAACTGTACCCTGCTGTTTCATCCAAAGCTAGTGGTTGAAAAAAAGTCGGTAGCCACAGAAACCGGTTTATGCGTTTGACAAGCAAGCGTGCTATTCGATCACGTTTCCGATTCAATGTATGACTGTGCCCGAACCAACTCGCTGTTTACCGATTTCCACGACTCTGACGCTGCCGGCTGTTTGATGGTATGTTTTTTTCCGCCTTTCGAAAGAAACAACAGTACGTGTCGACTGTTTAGCGGTGATCTACAGCAAGTGTTAACTTGTACAGATGTTACTGCTAATATAGCTTTTAGCTTACAGCTTTTATTACAGCTTTTAGTGCGAATGCACAAGTGTCCACAAATTTACAAGAAGAATGATCGCCAGGCAGGACGTGGCGGCGTTGCTCACAGTCGTTGGATGGGCCGGCATGTGTGCATACTTTCTCGTCGCACCCGTCGCTGCGGATAAGGATATGACGGAGATATTTAGGGATGATTTCCAGATCCTGGATCGGGAACAGTGGGACATTTTACATGAGGCGGCTCACAATTTCATATTTTTTGACGCCAGAAATGTGCGCGTGCAGAACGGCGTAATGGCGCTGCGAAGCAGTATGCAGTGCATCAACGGATCGCTGCACCGCAACGTCACCTTCGTCCAGACAAGGAGCTTCGCTTTTAAATACGGCGAAGTGCTGATCCGCTTCAAGTCCCCCCGCCTTTCCGTGGCGACGGCATACGCCTCCCCGGAGTGGTCGTTGCGCTACAACACCATTGCTTTACCTCATGTCTTGATAACCTCGTATCCATTGCTGCTTGACGCTAGCGTGGGGTACACGGCACCGTCCGGCAAGACGGTTAAATATGACCAAACATATAACAGGTATCTCTGCATCCAGCGACTTTAGCTGTATATATGCATGTTAAAGCGATGAATGTTGTCTAAGCGATTCACCGTGTGCGGCTACCTATTCCAACCAGCTTGCATGATCATAATTCGTAGCATGACGACACACATTTAATCGGAAGCCGCCCATTCTGTTTCTAAACCTGATTTGGTTTCGATTCTGCTTCCCTTCTTACGGGACGTCGTTCTAATAAATTAGGCCTGCGATCTGGCCGCACAGTGAGCTGGTGTTTCTCTCGCTTCTGGTAATCGTAATCATAGCTGATTCGTGACGATGCATCCTTTTCCAACCTCAACAGTCGTTTTCTCACTGGAAACGCTGTATAAACACTTCCAGTCGAGATGCTATAAGAGCATAGATTTAGTACTACATAGTAATTAACTGTGAAGTACGAACGCTACTGACGTTCCATGTATTTCAGCGATGAAGATCTGTCACGTGACTACCACACGCAGCGACTGGTCTGGACGCAGGAAGGCCTGGAACTGCTCATGGACGGCCGTCGCATTCTCAATCTCACCAATCCGGGTGTGGACAGCTGGCCCGCACTGGGCATAGCGTTGTACGAATGCTTAGATCCTGAGACTCTTGACGCTGACGCGTGCCCCGGTCCGTCGTTGCAGTGGTCGCACGAATGGCTGATTGACTACATCGTGGTGCGGCAGTACCGCAGCAAAGCGCAAACAAGTATTACTGATGTATTTGGAATTATAACTGAGTCAAATATGGTCAGACTAAGGTGTGCCGAGGTTCTCTTCGGCGCTCTCAAATTGTGATAACTTCATAGTCACGGGTACATCCACTTTCCACCGAATAGATTCTCGATAAAATAATGATTATTGAATGTGCGTAAATTCCTTAGATTTTTTAGTGAACGTCTACTCGAATCTGTGAATCTCTATGTTGCATTTAAAATTATTTATGTTCAACGAGACTCGAAGTCCCTTCGGGGTCGTATGTCTTGTGTTATAATATCAATAATAATAATAATTTGGTTTGCGCTGTTTTTCTGTCTCTGAGCTTGGGATAATTGGTTAAGGAAGCTGGAAGAACTAATCAGAAGATTTTTTAAATTTTACTGCACAGTTGACGTCATCCAGATCAAACTAGGCGTGGCTATTCCACTAGCCACCGGAGCAGCAGTAATTCTTTTGGGCCTCATCCTGCTGCGACGCGCCAGACAACGCCGTATCAAGCGACCCCAATCGAAACTGACGCTCGTCGCTTTCTCGTCAAGCACACCCATCCTGACAGGATTCGAGCTCACTGCGGAAGCTGCGGATGTGTTGCAGAACGAATGGGTGCGAGCCATGGAAATCCCTCTAGCGAATTTACAAACGAGTACGCCTTCTTTATTGCCTAATGTTTGCCTGAAATCTTGGTTCGTACAAACATCACCAGTCAGATTATTTCTTGTAGCCGAAATAGTTTTGGGCCGTGGCGCAACAAGCGTTGTAAGGAAAGGAGTGGTCGAGGGGCTCGCCGGTCAGCCACGCCCTGTCGAGGTCGGAGTGAAAAGTGCGCGAGACCAGAGCGACGCGGAGGAACGACGTCAACTGGTGAAGGAACTGGAGATCATGACCAAGGTCAACTGTCATCCGAAATATTGTCCGCCTGATCGGTGTCGTATTGAAAGGTAAAAGAATGGCATTAACTGGGCGCGTTTGCATGTAACTTAGAACTGGTTTCAGGCGAACTTATACTGATTGTGGAATATGCAAAATTCGGTTGCCTCCGACATTTACGTACTCAAAGTTCTCGGCATTGAGCGCTTTTATAACCATCTCAGTTCCGATGGAGCCATCCTTCCATACGACAAGGACGAAGCGGAAAGGGTCAGACTTAGTGGCAAAAAGGCGGCAGCACCATCTAGCAGCGATGAATTCGATGGACAAATCCTGTCTACGCGACTGCTGGTGCAATTTGCTTGTCAAATCAGTCAAGGAATGCAGTATCTCAGCGCGTTGTCCATTGTCCATCGCGATCTGGCGGCTCGGAACATTCTTATTAATGACGGCTTCGTGGCAAAAATATCGGATTTCGGAATGGCACGACAAGGAACCGAATGCGGTGTCCCAGACCAAAAGGTGTCTCAGCGCGATTTTGAGTAAATTCTTTGATAAACAGTAAAAATATACCAGATTCGGCTGCAGGACAGCTTGGCTTGGCGGCTTGGGTAACACAAAATCAGTCTTGAACGTATCAGTTGAACAGCTAGATTTTTGGTTGCACAGGAAGCGCTGCCGGTGCGGTGGATGCCGCCGGAAGCCATAACGGAGGCGATTTATTCGGAGAAGTCGGACGTATGGTCCTTCGGCGTCCTTCTGTGGGAAATGTTCAGCCTGGGGGCACTGCCCTACGCCGGCATCCACGTGTCGCCCGGTCACAACATCTCCGAGTTTCTAACGACACTGTGCACGGGAATGCGTCTGTATAAACCCACTTTATGTCCAAGTACGATGTAAGTTGCACTTTACTCTGTGCTACGTTAAGCTAAGGAAACTTAAGTGCTTAACCAAATTGCACTGTTTTACAGTTACGATTTGATGTGCGAGTGCTGGAAGCTCTCACCAGATGACCGCATGGACTTCAGTCGGTTGGCTCAAACCGTGCAGAATATTCTTGATATTCGTCTGTAGGTTACGGCAACGAATCTACAGTAAAAGGGGACATCAAACTGATATGGATACAGAGCATACTGTGGGATATTTATTATTGTTTTTAACTATTTAAGCAGCTCGGATTGCTGGTATTCTCGAGTTTACCATGAAAGCTTTCCGGAGCCAGCTCTGTCAGAACCGGCATCAGTGGGATGGGTTAAAATAATTTTTTTACGAAATAAAGTGCATTTGACACAGACACACAGTTTCTGAACCAGCTGAATCTGATGACGTTTACGGTTTTCCCGATTTCAAAGTCTCAGGGTGTTGTAGTTATATCAGAGATCTTGTTCCTTGACAGCAATGAAAATCTGTGAATTGTTTGCGGATTTATAGTTTGATAATTTCGGCGATATTGTGGCCGGACACCGGCTAAACCGTCACTTTTCAGCCGGTTTAAACCTGCAATTGGTTATATCCGATTAATCACACTCACCGGCGGCTTAGCCGTTGTCATGCTTATTTAACCCACCCGGATCTTGCTGAAACGAGGGTTTGCAGGTTTTAGCACGCACTATTGGCACGATCGGACTCGCTGTGTTTTATATCATCGTCTAAGTGTTTCAGATTCTATTCAAACAACGGGAATTTAATCGCACTAGGATTTTTAAGGTTTTGTTTTTGATTCTTACGGCTTCGGCCGTCGGTCATAATATCAGAATTATTATTTGAAGCTGTATGACTACATCAAGCGACTGAATTCTTCGTGGTCTCCTAGTTCCGGTCTGTCAACCTATCGCAACTAAAAACCTCGCTGCTGTTTTAAGGGTTTTGTGGATTCGCACCCAGAGAGTGATTTTGCTATGGAAAAGCAGGTACCTGCTACAGCTGCGTAGTGCGTACGCAAACTCATAGGAAAATTTGCTTACCTGAAGAAGACCCAGTTTATGGATTTCAACATTTTAAAAATCCTTTCGAAGAGTTTAGTTTCTACGAGGTACTCGAGTACTGTTGCCATAAATTATTATTATTACTATCACACTGTAGTAGCTAACTCTTTTACTGGAGATATCTTACCAGGCTCTCGAAAATCATTAATTTAAAAAAGTTTATGCTTTTTTGGTTTGATTGTGTGAGTTAAAAAGTTACCGAACCTAGCAGTCGAAACCACATCTCAGTTTCGCACTTGTTCATGTATTTGATTTCAGGGGCGCACCGCCGGGACGGCATCTTCCACAGGGAGCAGTCTGGCTCCCCTGGAGACCGCGGGGCCTGAGCTGTTGCCGCTGTTCAAGGAGGCCATCCGGCGCATCAAAGACCAGAAGCAGCGCCCCGGCTTCGACCGCATGCTGGTGACGCTGAAGACCTACCACGATGTGCACGACGCCACGGAGGTGCGCCGGCAGCTGGACCTGGCCGTCAGCAGCGACCTGTTACTCACCGTTCACACCAAGGGCTTGCTGTGCTACATGGACCCCGACAGTCGGCGTGGTCTGCGCAGAACCAAAATGGACAGTGATCTGCGTGTTCAAGCAGCGGTGCAGGCCGCCGTTCGGGAGATCGGCGATCCGGAGGGGTCCTCGCTGGAGGACGTTGAACGTTACGTCCGCTTAACCTTTACGTAAGATAACCTTTGCCGGTATACCAAAAACAGCTGTACTTTGCGATTGTTTTATTCGGGTAGTTCTTTCGAAAATGGCTCGGTTTACATACTTCGCAGTTAATTACTTCGTAATTAGATGGCACTGCTCTTGCCAACAATGCCATTATACCATCTCATTACTTAGATGGCAATATGGCATTGCTTTAATGGGATACATTCGGTATATGTCGCCTCTAAATTCGGTTTGTTGTATGTGCAGCATTAGGATTTCTGACCTGCGGGAGAGGATGCAGCAGGCACTTAGTAAGCTGGTCCGTAAGGGCGTTCTTAACCAACCCTCACCGAATCGCTTCAGTTTCTGTACGGGCAGCTCGTTGCCGAATGACGCCCACCACCTAACCGCCCCCAGCGACACCCCGGTGACCACACCGCCGGCCCCGTCCACCTCCACGCCCACCCTCCTCCCCGTGCCTCCTAAGCGCAAACCCGGCCGTCCGAAACGCATCACCCCGCCACCTGCCAGCGCTCCACCCACCGGGGAAGCTCCGCCAGTCCCGGCCAAGTCCGGCGCGGCAGTAGCGCCGGTGGTGGTCCGCCGCGCCGGACGCCGTGACCAGGAGTATGTGTGCGGGGCGTGTCACGTGCACACCGCGCGCAAATCCGCTCTGCTGCAGCACGTCACGAGCCGGGAACATCGCGCGATCGTCAGCGGGAAGATGGTGCAATGCGACACGTGCCGCTTCCGCAGCCGGAACGTGGACAAGTTGGCGGAGCATCTGCAGCGGCATGGCTGCCACGCGGGGAAGTCCGTTCCCTCCAGCATGTTGTCCCGTAGCACATCCAACGATCTGCTGGTCGAATAAGCGCTATGGCGCCCGTTATGGTTGTTGGGTTTTGGCTTATTATTGGTGATGACAAAGATGGTCTTGCTTTTTTGCCTGCATGAGATGCGTTTCGGTTGATTTTCTTCCAGTCTGACGTTGCCGGCTGAAATTGTATCTAAACCGGCCATGAATGCCTCTGTAGTTCGGATGTATTGCAGCTGTTATAAGTGAAATAAGAGTTTGTTTTCCTCGGCAAGCAGGCAGCGTTTCCTTTAAGTTACCGTTAAGAACTGCCGAAACAGAGGACATGGGATACATTCAGGATACCCTATACCACTTGAACAATTTCTTTTCTATACAGTAGACGTGATAACCAAACAAACACTTTGTTGATTACCATCAGCTAGAACTGAACCGGTCGAAGCCAGTTTTTGACCCTGCTCTAAATGAACTGTTGCGGATGAAAATGTGGGTGAAAACTGAAAAGGATACCGATTATTACCTGGGCACAATGACAAGTACGAGTACAAGCACTCTGTACATACTGTACAGCTACGTCCATGTATTTTCGGATTCGTATTAATGTTGATACTAGCTGTTTTTTTGTTAATCTCGTGCACAAGCTTGTATAAAACCAGTGCCATTCATGATTCATCACATAATCTATTTATAGAAAGTTCTTTTCATGTGGAAAAGGCTACAAAGCTATCGGCTGTGAGACGCAGACTCAGGCGCTAACAGTCAGACTCAGAGCCGGATTTAGTGCGGCCTTGTGCAATGTGCGTTTGTGCGTCGAAATAAGCACTTACAGACTACAGATTTGCTATATCCGTATATCGTACAGGAAGCACGCTTCGATAGATGCCGTCGGATGAAAACGAGACACAATTTTTGTTTCCATCGTGTCAATTTTCGGGCTCGATTTGAAGATTTAGAATCTGATCGTGCAACCTCGCAGTGTCTGCGTTGACAGTTAGTTTTGGCAAGTGCGGCCGTAAGCAGCCTGTTAAAACTGATAGCTGCTTGTTTGACTAACGTGACTCCATGTTGATCTCACCGCCGTCTCTAGTTCTATAGGTTCGCAACTTTTATCTCTGCATCACATAGGACCTCATTGTTGTCCCAAAGGGATTCGTGGATCTGTTTCGGAATCGGAGAAAAGGTAAGTCACGTAAGTGCTTAAAGTAGCTGCGTATATGTGAGTTGTGACTACAACTTCCAGGGAAAAGCTTTTCAAATTAAACTGCAGTACGAGATTCGTAAGTACAGTACTACTTAGATTCGGGAACTTAGTCTTAAAGTTTTTGGGTTTTCAGACCCAAACCTGTGTTATAGCAGCTAAAGAAAACTATATGTGCGCGACATGCGCGATAATGGTGAACTTTACAAGAGAGTTTTTTCTCAGCTTGTGGTTAATGACTGCGTGCAAAGTTATGGATGTTCTGTACCTTAAAAGAACCAGAGGGTTCCCTCAACTTACCAAACGCTTTAAACTTCGAATCTGTTTGCTGGGTTGCACAAATCCAAATCGCGCTTTCGTTAACAACACTTTAACGAAGTGGTTTTTGCCTTTCTGGAATATATACTCTAACAGAAATTACTGAATTTAGCATCTGCGGTATTAGATTGGAAAACGAAATTTGATTGTTCATGTTGGACAACGTAGCAATGGCTGTTGGCAGTGCGCACTTTTGGCGACTCTCTATTTGATTTTGATTTATTTTCGAGTAGCCGAGCTCGTAAACCAGCACTCTCACATATCCTTATCTGTTGACGAGCATCCATTCCTAGGCTAGCCAAGTCACCGCAACTCGTTAAACACCAGTACGCTAAGGAGACGTGAACCTTGTTTTTTGGCTTGAACGTAGGTACGCACTGACAGGACAGACTCCTTGGCGAGAATGACGGAGTCGATGGACTGTCCGTTGCTGCCACTCTTCAAGGAGGCCATCCGGCGCCTGAAAGACCAGAGGGAGCGGCCGGGTGTGGACCGCATCGTGCAGACGCTCAAGACGCACCACCAGGTGCGCGACGCCGAGGCGGTGCGCCGTCAACTGGAGCTGGCCGTACGCAGCGGCCACCTCATCGCCGTCTACATCAACGGCCTGCAGTGCTACAAGGATCCCGACTGTCTGCGGGATCTGCGCCGCTTCAAGGTGGACAACCTGCAGCGTGTGCAGCAGGCGGTGAAGTTCGCCGTGCGGGCCATTGGCGATCCGCAGGGTTCGTCGTTGGAGGAGATCGAGAACTACGTCCGCGTGTCGTTTATGTAAGTGCAGGCTTACATCGTAATGTTAACAGAACAGCCAGCCAATGGACCGCTGGTGGATGTAACAGGGCAACAGGATAAGAGGAATAGAAAGTGTTCAGTGGTTCACCCTAAACCTGGGTTACGGTCAAATTTTTACGAGCATCGCAACATTGCTAACAGTGCTCTAACAACATGCTAACAACATTGTTCTCTAATTGCTAACAACATGCTAACAATGCTCTAAACCTGGGGTAGGATCAAATTTTTCGGGGCATTTTTTTAATTGCATCTGTGTCGTGGCACTATCCCTTACTAGAACGTTATTTTATTTCAACATTGTACAAGCAAATGCCCTTTAAAAACTTAGACTCAAATACCCGAAAGCTAGAACAAATGAAACGACTCCTCTCGCTCGTCTGAATCCCTTACTAATCCTCGATGTATGCTTAAAAGTTTTGCTGTTGTACTCGTATTTGTTAGAACTTTTTTCAGTAAGTTGTTCACATTAACATAGGCTAAAAGCAAAATTACGCAGTTCATCATTTCAACACATAATACACTTCTTAAGTGTATTATGTGTTGAAATGATGTAAGTAATGTGTCGCTTCTGATCTCTAACGTATTCTGTTTAATTCCTTCGGTCTCGTTAATTTCTTAGGTTTTCTCGTGTTTTTCAGTGGAATGTACAACAGCGAAAAAATTCTAACAAATACGAGTACAACAGCAAAACTTTCAAGCATACATCGAGGATTAGTAAGGGATTCAGACGAGCGAGAGGAGTCGTTTCATTTGTAAGCGATAAAATAGGAGATACCAAATACATATGGGATACGTTCAGGATACGGGTGGTTAACCACGAAAGCGGTTACGTTAAATTTTAATGCACAGCATTACCTTCATATTTTTGCATCGTCTCTTAGTTGCGCTTGTTATGTGTGTAGCGTGAGCACTCCCACTCTACGGGAGCAAATGAACGAGGCCCTTGGAGAGCTGCTTCGCAAGGGCACTCTCGACCAGCCTGCACCGGAGCGCTACCGGTTCTGCTCTGCTGGTAAGCTGCCGGATAATGCTGCTGCTAAGCAGCTGGCCACCTCCAGCGACACCACCGAAACCATTCCGCTTCCACCAGTCTTCGCTGTACCGTCCATACCCGCGCCCCGTCCGCGCGGCCTTCCCAAGCGGGTGATTCCCCTGCCGGACCCCGCCCCGCCGTCGCCGAGCACCGACTCACCGGCGCCGGTTAAGCGCAAACGCGGTTTCACGCCCACCATCAACCCGCCGGCACCGGCACTCGTGGAAGTCCCACCGGCGTCCCTCCTTGCGCCGCCCGTCAGCCCTCCACCACCCGCAGAGGTCCTGCCGGCGCTTCCCGTTCTCCCGGCCGCAGCTCCACCCATCCCGGAGGAGAAAGTATCGCCGGTGGGGATCCGCCGCTCCCCGCGTTATTTTAAGGAGTACCAGTGTGCGCCGTGCCGCTTCTACGTCACCGACCACTCCGCGTTGCTGCTGCACGTCGCCGGCCCGCAGCACCGCCGGAGCGTCGCCAGCAAGATGGTGCAGTGCAGCACCTGCCACTTCCGCACCCGCAGCGTGGACAAGATGACGGAGCATCTGCAGCGGCACGGCTGCCACGCGGGGAAATCCGTTCCCTCCTGTCTGCTGCGCTCCAGCGCATCCGGCGATCTGCTGGCTAAATAAGCATCCTGCAGATGTCAGGATCCGTTCGCGCCGCGGCGTCTCCGTGGCGGTTAATTGGTTCTTCGGTTTCTAAATTTTTTTTATTGACAGTGACTGTCTTATGTTCTTTTCCGGCCAAAATGATCAGATGCTTCTATGATAACTTATGTTCGTTCCAGTTCGACGTCGCCGGCTAATACAGTAGTCAAGCCGGAAATGAACGCTTTTGTAGTTTTGTGCATAGCAACTGTATAATTGAATTTTTCGCGTTTTTTGATACCCTCTTGGTCTCTCGAATAAAAAGGCGAAATGGTAGGGACTAGACGGGTGTAGCGTAGTGGGATAAACGGGTCCCTACTTCCTTACATTCTATTAGAACTAGGATACAGAATCCCGACTGCGGGCCACATTCTCTTTAACTCAAGACCGAAATCTAAGAAAGCCAGAGAATGACCTCATCCCATTAGCCGTCGCTGCGCTTAAATAGCCTAAACTGGTCTAAGCAGGGCGCAATCCGAAGGAAACCGAGAAACGGCTGAAAAAGGCGCCGATGGGGGAATCGGCTGGGGGATGGGGAACCCCGGCTACGTCGTTAGATCTGCGTATGCAGTACCACTGCACCACGGCGCAATACGTTGAAATCCTTTGAAAGATTTTGTCGCTGTACGTGAGCCGCTTCTCCGCTCACACTGGGTATTCTGTACTACCCGTACGTCTCATACAACTGCACTTGAACACACGTAAGCGGCACCGCCGCTACACGGGTACTAAATTAATTAAAAGAATCGAACCAAAATTATCTGGAAGCCTGGAAGAATTTCCTACAAGGTGATGTTTAGAACTTTAGACTGAACGCGCATTTATATGGAAAGTCATCTCATAGCCGTGCCCTTAGACAATTAATTATTCAGTGGGTGGGGTTTTCAATAAGATTTTGCTTTCACTCTTTTTCTTGGCCCCTTTGTGACGTGTCAAAATGTTGATTTTTTGCCAATGTTATTTGCTTTGATAATCTGCGGCAAGCGGTGAACTGTCGAAGATATTGTACCAACTAAATAACAATAAAGACTGAATCTGTACATACAGTATATGCACATATTGCGCTCTATTCGTTTGTTAGAAAATGAGGCGGAAGCGCCCATTTCACCGTAGAGTGAGGTTGGTGGCGGAATGATGAAACCAAATGGCGGGAGCCGCGCGATGCCCGTTTCTCTGGCCTCTTTGTCTTCTGACTGGCTGCCTGTGCATCTGTATTCGGATCGGTTGTCGGTCTGTCACGATAGGTAGCGTGGTGGACGCCCAACGGTTATGAATTCAGTATCTTTGACCGTTGGCATGAAGAACAGACCGTTATGCAAATTGCATAACACATGCTACTAATCGTTTAATAGTTTTCTGTTGCTGTTTTGTTGCTGTTATTGTTTGTTAGTCGTTTTAGTTGTTTTGTTGTTGTGGTGTTCCGACATAAACTTTTTTTAACGCGGCCGTCGGCCAACTAGTAAGGTTGTGCAGAACGCCTTCGTAGAATCTGATACTTAAATTAATAAAGTCGGTGATCTTATCGTCATATAAGGACGAGAACCCTGCTGCTTTCTCAACGGGACTTGTGCGTGCTTTGGTTCCAGAAATAGGAAAACTTTCTTCTCAAAGTGCAGGTGCGTAATCATGGCCGAATTGGCGGGAGTGGGATTGAGAATCCAGGAATAAAAAAAAGGAAGAGAATCCTTCGAGAACCTTGCTGTAAAAACTGTTAGACATTTCGTCAATTTATTTTTAAATTAAACTGGTTCCGTTTGCGCGTAAACAAGGTTCAGAGTGAAAATTCACATCGTATGCTAGGTTCTGCGAGAAGCCAGCGGGCGGCGAGCTCTGGAGAAATTTAGATTTTCCATTAAAAACAGTAGAAATAATTACAAATCTCTAAGAAAATTTAATTGCAAGAAGCGATACCGTTTCATTTTAACCCAGGAAAACCGGGTACTAGAAGGGATAGGACTACGGTTTTGAAAATTTGCATTCTGGGATAAAAAAATTCAATTAAGAGAAAAATATTTTTTTCAAAATTTTACCGACCATAGGTCAAGCGGGAGATGACCATGTCGAAATAACACGCATGGGAACCATGTTGGGCCGACATGTTATCTAATTACGTTTATAACAATAGTTACAAAAATCGCACAGGATACGACAATAGCTCAAACAACAGATCTCAACGAGTACTTAAAAACAAGAGCATTGTGATGGTCATCGAGATGACCAGTGGTCAAGAAAAAAATAAAAATTGCAGAAATACAGATCGCAGCCGGCACAGTCGTTTCATCACACACACAGTCAGTAGAAAATGAGAAAAAATGGCAAAAAATTTGGAAAGCCTTTTCCAGGGAAGACAAACAAGTTTCGTAGTTAACGTTTGTGGTATAACGGGAAGCAGGCCTTGTGCAAGCGGACATTGCACTTCTGCCACGCTGAACTACGCCGGCAGTATTTGCAGTGGCCTCGCTTGCATCTCTCCACAATGTGATTGATCCCGTCAAACCGAACAGTGCTGGTCACTGGTGTTGAAGGTCCAAGACGAGCCGGCTTTTGCAGTCCCGACAGAAGCAACCCTTCGACAACTTCCGATAAAAACTGGATCTGTGTCAGGTTTCCTCCTGCCTCTCTGTGGATACGCCACGCTGCTACAGTCATCAGAGAAATTGAGTTGGCAAAGAATGGCCACCACCACTTCTTCGTTCGAATCATCGGCCGGTAATCACTGATGAACCTGTCGAATAAATCCACACCGCCCATGTACTTGTTAGAGCTGCCGATCATTTTTGGCTGGTCAATATTGACGTGCTTTTTCAGTGATGCGTTCCATTGTCTTGCTTTTCCTAGTGGCGCGACAGTCTCGCAGTTTGAAGCCAAACAAACTGGGGTATTGTCGTGCCACTTGACGGTGACCACATCCAGTGTAGAAAACGTTGCGTGATGGCCACGCACGGTCTTTTTAAATCCTTTGTTATCCGGAAATGGGCATCACAGCAGACGATTTTCGCGTACGGTGCCGGTAGCCTTGAAATTCAGTTGTCGTAATTCATCAAGCAAGTTGTACGAAGTGAAGAAGTTATCGAAGTACAGTGTACGGAATTCAGGATGGTCAACTTTCTCGATCAAAGACAGAACCACTCTTGAGCCAAGAGGCTTCAGGTTAGGTGTACCTTCCTTTCCGGTGTATGCCATAAAGAAGAATGGATAGCCACTTGCTCCGCAAATCACCCACAGCTTATATCCGAACCGGCACGGCTTTCCCCGCATGAACATCTTGCATGAGTGGTGTCCGAAGTATGGGATCATTTGTTCGTCCACGCTGAGTTTCGATTCAAACCATTCAAACTGCAGTAACTTCTTCTTCAAAATCGCCAAGAACGGGTTGACCTTTGCCAGCTTATCCCCTTGCAACAAGTTATTGTTGTCAGCCAGATGCAAGAATTTCTTGATTTCCTACAATGAGAGTGTAGTGACTAATATTGAATCATATACTCAATTTTTAATTTTTAGAAAGTTTCCCCCTTGGGGGAAAACGCCACCACTGCCAAAATACTAAGTGTTTCGCAAAATTTTCTTTTGATTTAAATTCCTCCTATTTTTAGCAACAAATTGTTTGCTGGACCGGAAGTACGAATTCTGGCTCGTTACGGAGATATTTAGGAAAACCCCCTGGGGGAAAAGTCAATTTTTTCAACTGGACATACCTCAAAGCGGGTTCGGGATATCTTTGTCGAAACGCAGGGGAATTCAAACAATGCTGACCGCATCCAATAATGTCGCTGTGATGGCAACTTCACAATGCCGCTGTAAATCAGGGTTCCCACAAAAATGCGTAGCTCTTCCGGCGACAAGGTAAAGTTGGCGTTCTTCTATGCAGCGTAGCGTTCAGACTCTCTAATGATTCATTCCGAAACTTCTCCATCAAAATACATGTTGAACAGCTCCAGAGGTGTAGCTGAAATAAGCTCAGGATGTGCATTCGCCAGTTTGACGGGAACGTTGTTGGGATCATTGTACATTGGCAGAAAGTTCGTCTCCCCGTTCGCCCATGGTACTTCGGGCCGGCCACGGCCCGCACCTGTTAAATCTTATCTGAAATATCGCCAAACTGTCGTGAAAATTTACTGGTGACGTACCTTTTCGCTTCTTAGACGGCTGTTCGGTGCCACATGGCTGGTCGTCGGTATCGCTGTCGTAGCAGACTTCAAGCTCTCCCGAAACATCGGTTGGAAGCTGCGGGCTCAGGTCGTTGTCATGGATGTCCTCTTCGTCGGAGCAACTAGCAACATCCGGTGGCAGGCAAACAGTGTCAACTTCGCCATGTGGTATAGTTGCCAAATCTTCCAAGATGTCTTGGGCTTCACGCAACGTTCTTGCTCGTGTTTGAGGCATTTTAAAATATTTCTTCCAACCGTTTTAGAAAAATGTTCGTGCGAAATGAAAAATGAATACCGCGCAAATAAGTAGGCGATTTAGCCAAAAAACAAAGAAACGATGCGCGCCAGCAAAAATTTTTAGCGGTGGTATCGCATAAGGGACTATGAGACAATGAAATTACCAGTGGAAAAGTTTGCGCTCCCAGCCGTCCACCACTGATCTGGTGCTCTAAGTATGCACTATGCACAATCTCATTTTCATAATTATTCATGTGCTCATCGTGATGCCACATATTCCAGAAGCTTTATGATATTATTGCCATCTCACTCGCAAATATCAATTTCTGTCGTAATGGAGCCTGTCAGTGAATTATTTGTTAAAAATGGATTGGTTTTGCCAAAATGGCTTGAGTCAGCTGTTCAGAAACAGCTGGACCTTGGTCACGGTGGGAAGAAAGCCCGCAGCGAGATATATCGTGCGATTTACTGGAAGCTCAAGGTGTGGAGAAGCTGCTGTTTTTTTATCAATATTTTATTACGATTTGGATATCTTACAAATCCGTAGTCCAATTTTATAATTTTTCTACGAATGCAGAATGCCAACAAATTGGGATATTTGTACATTCAGACTGTTGTATATCCGATTGAATTGGTGGTCGCCATTGGGAAGGTATTCCCCGACAACAACGAGCACAAAGACGTGAGTTCGCAGTTTTATGCTTCCCGTGTAGGTTTCTTGAATTATCAAACGTTTTTTCCTAAAATTAAGACCATTGCAGTACGGGGAAGCCAATATCTCGTTGGAGGATATCGCCAAAGTTCGATAGCTAATTAACTTAGCGCTTCTCATTTTTTCCCTGTTTGTCTGAGAGCTCAATGCCCATCCATGTCAAACTCGACACGAAAAGTTTCGATGACCACCGAAGGCCACTGGCTATTGCTTTTTCCTTTACTTCCATTTTTTTAAGTTTAACTCTATAGGAATTACGCGTGATATGTTTTACGGAATTATCTGAAGACTCTGAAAGTGTGTAGACCATGAAGACCTCCACGGACTCCGTCAGCTCTGGTTTGACCAACTTTAGGCTCTCTCTGTGTGTCACTGCGCTGTTGTCTGGGATTGTGGTATTTTTTTAACTGTCATGTAACATCTGCTTTATGTAATAAAACCAATGAAAGTGACTTAATCGCGTTCAAAAAAGCTACAGAATTTAAGTCCTCCACCATGTCGGCCTAACACGCTTCGTGTGGAACGGGTTAAATATTTAATGAAAAAATAAATTTTCGTATGAAGCCGACGCTAAAAATTCCATCAGATAATAGTAAACTAACAACTTAACAAATTAAATAGTAAATTAACAAATTTCCGATGAAGCACGTTTTGCAACATGATCACAATTTATTTATAAAATTGAATAAAGATTATGCCGTTATTTCTGTCGGATATTTTAAATGCATTTGATAGATGCGGGTAGGAAAAGGCCAGCCCGTACCGGTACCGCCCTCTCCGGGTGGCGGCCGCTTGGCCCCCACGGAGCCGCCGCAACCAGAGGACTGTTCGCTGCTGCCGCTGTTCAAGGATGCCATCCGGCGCATCAAAGAGCAGAAGCAGCGCCCCGGCTTCGACCGCATGCTGCAGACGCTGAAGACGCACCACGAGGTGCACGACGCCACGGAGGTGCGCCGGCAGCTGGACCTGGTCGTCAGCAGCGGCCTTTTACTCACCGTCCACACGCAGGGCCTGCTGTGTTACAAGGACCCCGACAGTCTGCGGGACCTGCGCACTTACGACCTCGACACCAACAGCACCAGGGACAAGGACTCCATCTGGGGCCGTGTGAAGCGGGCGGTGAAGGCCGCTGTGCGGGAGATGGGCCATCCACAGGGCTCGTCGCAGGAGGAGATTGAGCATTACGTCCGTTTGTCCTTTACGTAAGTGGCACGGGCGCTGTGACGGTATTAAAAGGGCAAAGGTTTACTCACTTCGGAAGAGAGAAAACAAAATAATATTTATAAAAAATATATGTTTATTTAGTATTGACGAAGTGGTGCTGTTGTAGTTACGTTTTGGAGACTAACGATTCTTTTTATTAATAATCAGCGCACATTTCTGGTAAGGAAAGGAATCACGCAGTACTATTCAAAGCAGCAAAACTTCATTTAAACTTTTTTTTTTGACTTTATAGTTTATGTTCTTATCGCGACATAACAGTCGTAATTCATATCACTACGGCCAACAATACACAATTAAGAATTAAAAAAACAACCGAAATCAGTATTATCCATCAGTTTATTCTTGCCCGGTAAAGTTCCTAAAACGGCAGCCGCATTGCCTTTAATAATTGCGAGGCTAATACGCTGCTTTAAAAAAGCCGTGGATCTGCATTCCCCGGACCTCTCCTTCGTTTTCCGTCCAAGAAAACTGACCATTTCTCTGGCTCCTTCGCCGAGCACTCCCAGGGTTTCCACGGCAAAAGGATAAAACCAGTATTCTTCGCCCAGCTGCCGATAGTTGTATCGCTTCCGACATTCTGCTTGGTGTGCCGCTGCGCCCGCTGCTTTTGCTGACCGTTTAACGTACGACTGTGCTAGCGTGTCCGCAAAAGTGGCGTCCCATACAAGCTGCTTTCCGTCTCGCACTGGCACCAATGTCAATCCGTCTGGACGCTTCCCGTTGTCCCTGAATATTCCTTTCGGTTCCAACTCGCAAGGTATACCCGCTGCTACACATCCCCTTTCCAGTATACTGTTCAGTTCCAAATGCTGGCTCCATCTACCTTTGCTATACAGGCAGGACAATCCGTGGTGGCCATCTGAAGTTACCTGGAAGCCACAACCCGCGCATTCATGCGGTGCCACTACTGGCAAACCAAATCGTAATCCCACGGCAATTCTTACATGTTCGTCATTCACCATCGTTCCCAAGCTTGCAGCCGGTAACGCGTGCAACCATGCCGCTGATTCTTTCTCGGACCCCGCTAATAGTGCTGCCATCTCTTGCGGCTTACCATTGGCCATCGCTGATAGACGCAGCTGTGAGTATGCTCGCTCCACGACTGGCCAATCCCAACTCTTTTGAAATTTCCTTAAATTTTCAGACGGCATTTCGCACTGATACTGCTGTACCTACTTGTCCATCGCCTGCTCCAGACCAGATAACCGATCGACCGGAAGCATTTCCAGGCACACTGGCAGAACCGAGGACGCCGAAGCGATGAACGCCGACAAAGCTAGCTCCTCTGCTCGCCGTATTCCCAGACCGCCCCGGCCGACCGGCATGGTCATTTGTGTCCAATTCTTGTCTTCAATGTGGGCATTAGCGATTGATGTGACAGCAACACGCATTAAGCTGTCGAATTCACGAAGGACTTCAGGGTGATCGTGACACTGGCTGCTGCGTAGGGTATGCATTAACTTCGGCACGCTGAGACAGTTTCTGAGGAGATACTGTGATTGTTGAGATGGCAGCAGTTTCAGCCTTTCCACCAGTCTCTCGATTTCGAGAATTTTGCCTCTCAAAAAGGAGGGCACTGCGATCACGTTAACTGGTGCTCCTAATAACGTAAGTGTTTCGCTGTTGAGAATCTCGAATTCCGGCCACTCCCAAACCAAGCGATGCTTAGCGGCCGCTTGCTCTTCCTCGCTTCCACCGAACAAAAATATGCTTCACATTTGCCATAATTTAGTACGAGGCCTATCTTCTTCCCTTCTTCTTCAATTGTTCGAATGTCTGCCATTACTTCTTCAATCAGCCCCGCCAGGGTTACATCATCCAGGAAACCGGCTTTAAATTGGCTTTGTAGTCTCCTCAGCAATGGAAAAGTTCCCAGGCAGTAGGTTAACGGCCCCCCAGGATCGCCTTGCTGCACACCACTTTCCAATGCTATGACGGTGTCTTGACAGGCCAGATGGGATACAGGTGCATACGCCTGATCGAAATGGGGGTAGTACACAGGGATAACGGACTGAACTGCTTCCAAAACTGCGCTTCTGCTGATCATGTTGAAAGCGTTTTTAAAGTCCAGTTTGACCATTACTCGTGTGCCTCCGTGATCTGTTTCCAAGTACGTTCGAGCAGCGTGTACGATAGCTTCAGCGCCTCCTTTCGTTCCGTATCCCAGTTGAACAGGGCGGAAAAGTGCGCCCAGTTGTTCCTGACACCTTGCACTGACAATCTTCGACGCTATCCTGCGTAGTACTTCACCGACTGCAATAGGCCGGATCCCTCCAGTAGGTTTTTTTAAAGGAATTAAATTTGCTCCAAATAAAAAGGGAAGAACTTCAGCAGGAACTTTGCCATTGAGAACAATATCCATTAGGCCTGTCATGGCCAGACAAAGCTCACTTTCTACGTCATCTCGGCGGTTCAGCATGTCTTTCAAGTGTTGGGGTTTCATTCCCGAGAAACCTCCGGCAGATCCGGCGGGGATGCTGAATGCAGCGTCCAGTAACTCAGCTGGAGAGACACGCGGTACTGCTAAAGGCTCTGCAGCACGAGGTGGAAAATTTTCATCAGGCGACCGTTTGGGATGTTTATCTCTAGGAGCAGCTATGGTTTCATCATTCATTTCCGCTATTGTTTCTTCCGATGAAAGGAATTTAACAATGTCCTTGGTCCGCCCATTTTGAAACATCTGAGCCACTCGTTTACGAAGATGTTAACAGCGTCGCCGCGAAACAAGTCCAATAAAACAGAAATCGACACGTTGCAGAACGGTAAGTCCCATGTTTTTTGGAGCTTTCGGAAGCCAACTTCTGGAACTTCTGCTTGACGGGCTTTGGTTTTCCATAACTCCACCGCTTCCGAGGCGTCCAGTGCCGGAAAGTGAGGAAGCATTGACAATAACAAATCAGAAGCAGAGTGAATCGAAGCCAAGTAGGCTGGAAGTGCTAATTCCTCCGCACGACGTATGCCAATACCTCCTCGGCTGACCGAGACCTACCTATCTACTATCTGCTTATATAGTGGTGCGCTATTAGGTGCAAAATTTGAAGAAAATCGGTTTATAATAAGACTTTCTATACTCGTGTACCTCAACGCATTCAAACATTTTGGAATTTTATTCCGCCCGTAACTCCTCAACCAATTTTAGTCAAGCGAATACAGATCACTTGCTTACAGAATGTCATAAAACACTGAAAAAAGCGCTTCCGTTAGTTCCGTATTTTCGAGTGCGCAAAAGTTAAAGTTCTCGTCTATGTACTCGGGTTTAGGGCTGTGTATCCGGGTCACTTCCCTTATTCCATTTAAGTTTAATGGTTTAACGTCCGCACACATTCAGGGAAAAATCCCAATTCGGGCAGCAGACACTCACAACAACAACAATTCTCCAGAATACACAGTATTTCAGATCAAGCTTTAAACAATAATACAGCAGCTTTTTAAACAAGGATACATCAGCGTATTTAAACACCACAACTCAGTATACCCACTCCCTCACAAACACATTTGTCGGCCAAATCTCAGGTTCCAAAATTTTTTTCGCCATGTCTTTAAACGTACCAATGCGGGCAAACGTGGAAGATCGTCTATCTCCACGAGCAGGAACGTACACACTCACAAATCTTGTAGGAATCCCTACATCTTCCAGCTGTTTGGCAATGAACGCATTATAGTCCTTAACACTGTCAAACTTCGAATCCTCGACCCGTGGTATACCTCTCACACAAAAGTCCGCATGGGGCTGGTGCTTGGCTTGTAGTGTTTCTGTCAGTTCTCTCGAGGGTCCCTCACTCGTTCCAGTACGCGTGCCACGCACAACCTTCGGTGCCTTCTTGATAACTGAAGCGTAAGACTGTGATTTCATCGCCAGTGTAGGATGGTTCGTGGATGTGGTAGGGTTCTTCGATTGTGACTGGGCAAGCTGTCCTTTTCATTAACTGTTATGTTTATTTTTCCGGGTTTATCCCTTTTATGAATAATTGCTACTAGTCAGCGTCACTCCATGTTTCCCCATGTTGTAGATATTTAAGACACCTACATGTAGCGCTCCGCCACTTGAGAGCCACTCCTTAGTCCTTACGTATTCGACTATTCGTATATATACAGAGCTCATTTTTATTCGGCAACAGCCTGTACTCTATCACAAGAAGCCTGCGCAAATTTAAACTGAATAAAACGATTCAATTTTAAACATTGAAAAACATACAGATTACTATACAGAGTACTTTAACATCAACACTATTCATAGAAGCAAATAATAAAATATCGGGTTTTAGCCACTTTATTAAAACTCAGCTAAGAATAAATAACAAACAAGCACGAATTTAAATAACGACCTAACAGGCCGGAAATAACAGGACATCAAGAAATCGACCTCATATCAGACAGCCACTCACTATCAGTGCCTCTGGGCATCAGGTGCATGAGAAAGGCAAAAACATGGACTATAATCATCCGACCATAGGAGCGTGCACAGAAGGCCAAAGGACAAATAATTATATAAGTACAGTAATGCGGTAATGTAACGTCACGCACTCGTATATGAGCAGCCCATTTCGTATCATATAATTGTGATTCAGCTGGGAATTGTTCGCAGCGTGGGAATCACCACACTGCGAGAGCAGATTGGCAGGGCCCTGGCGTACCTGGTTTGTACCGGCAAACTGACCCAGACCTCTGCACAGCGCTATCGACACTGCTCATTGCCAAAAGTCAAATCGTCGAATCAGTGGAATGATTCCTCCGAGAGTCTGGCCACACTCAGCCCAACAACTGCGCCGCCACTATCGCATCCCGCCCCACCGACCAACGCCCCACTCAGCGTCGTCTTGACCGCACCGATCAAGCGCAAAGGCAGCCGTCCCAAGAAGATCAGCCGTCCCCGCGCTGCTGCAGCACGTCGCCAGCCAGGAGCATCGCAGAAAGGTCACCGGGAGGATGGTGCAGTGCGATACGTGCCGCTTCCGCGCCAAGGACGTGGGGAAGATGGCGGAGCACCCGTAGCGTCACGACTGCGATGATGGCCAATCTGTTCCCTCCTGCTTGCTGTCTCGCAGTGCATCCGACCATCTGGTGGCTAAGTAGCGATGCTGTGAGGGACTTTCCGTAGGTGATGGTTGGTTCTTGGGTTCTTTTATTTGGTGGTGACAGTGGCCTTCTCGGCCTTTTTCTCTTGAGAACTGAATGGACGAATTTAACCTGGGTTTCTTTAGTGGCATGCAGTCCGGCTGCGCCGGCTAGCTCTGTATTCTGCATTAAAGCGGCTGAATGTGTCGCAGCGGTTCGCCACGGTTCGGTTTGTGGCTGTCGATCTGCCTATTCTATTTCTAAACCTGATTTGAGTTTGGTTCTTCTTTCGTTAGCACGGGACGTTCTTATTAAATGAGGCCTAACAAATCGAGTTTTTCATTCAGCGTTTCGAAGCACCTTTTTGTCTACACCGGCAATAAGTGCTTATATATTTTATAAGGAATGTTATAGGCACTTGAAGGTTTCATTCTTTTCAAGTTTTCTACATTTTTACGTTCTCCAGCAGTGCACAGATCACGCGGGTTGTGGCGCATATGATCCCGTTCAGCATATGAACGAATTCGACCTATAATGCACCAAGCCGACATTAATCATTTATCGTGCAAATTTGTAAGAAACAAGATTGAATGTAACTTGTAAATAGCGAACCATGTCGCGCTGTTTCTTGGTCGGTCCGTAACGGATGCCTAACCGGCGCGGGTGGTAGTCGGTGCAGTTGGAGCAGGACATCAGCTCGCGGAAAGCGCAGCTCCCGGGATACCAGGCCTCCAAGTCGGATTTCTTCGGTGGCGGCATTATTCAGCACTCCTAAAAAGCAGCAAGTCTTGTGCACAAAACGAATTATTATTTTCTTATAATATGCAGGGTAGTCGCTTGACGTTCGCTAGTTCGACGCTTACCGCATTCCGGACATTTTCACAATATGGATTCGCGCACCGGACACCAGAGATATGGTATTCTCTGTGTTGTTCCACATTAGAAAACTTGATAATTTTCTGATAATCTCGTATGCGAGATTGTATAGAACACTAATCATCACGTGATTAATTTTTGTGAAGTTTGTGCATGC